ATGGCAATATCACAGCACATCAAGAAACTGGAATCGGGGTCTGGCTGCTCGTTTTTATAAATAATGCATGAGTTTGGTTACTGAACCCACAGAGTTTCCTTTCATTGTAAGCTCTCTGATTATACAAGACTTCTTAGAGGTCTGACAGAAACTGACTCAGAAACAACACGTATCAACCCATATAAACAAGGAATTTCCAAAGTAACTCTTCTTTAATAAAGAAGGTGGGGAAGGGGGTAGAAATGGTGAGTGAGAAGAGGATGAGGGCTTTGTGAATTAAAAATTCTCTTCAGCCACTTGCAGGGCTGAACATTCCCTCATGAGTGAAGAGCATTTCTTTCAGTCCCAAGTATCTGACTGGCTGAGGTGACTTTGCTGTAAAGAGGCCAAGCAACTGCTCTGCTTATAGCTGCCATGCCATGTTCAGTCGCTTCAGTCGTGTCAACTCTTTGCGACACCACAGACTGTAGCCTGCCAGGCTCCTCTGTCCAAGGGACTCTCCAGGCAAGAATACTGAAATGGGTTGCCATTCCAGAGGATCTTCCCAACCCAGGGATTCAATCTACATCTCCTGCATTGCAGGCAGATTCTTTATCACTGAGCCACGAGGGAAGCCCCCTTTTTATAGCTAAGTGGCTCTTATTGCCACAGTGGAAAAAAGAATAGTTTTTTCCACGGCAAAAATGGCAAGAAAGACCCCAAAACGTCCTACCAATTATTTTGTTGACTCCCTTGACCAGAGTATTGTCACTTGAGGCCCCTACCCTACAACTCAGCTCATCCACCAAATTCCCAATCTTCTAGGCACTAAAAGGTTCTGTACAAAGAGGTCCCCCCCCAAAAAGGAGTTCCCCAAACTGTTTGATATGAGGATATTTCCCTCCTTGTAACTTTCTTAACAAAGTAAAAAACAAAAAATATCCCAAAACCAAACCATAAAAACCATTATGAGATGACATGTAATCTGTCTGTAAGCATCTCTCTCCTCTCTTTCTTTGACATCCCCCCTACCTGAATATGGAATAGAAAACAGCATGTAAGTTGGTGGCAGCTACTTTTTTATTATGAATAAGAGCTAACCTTAGGATGAAGCTAACAATGTAAGCATAGAACAAAGAAATGGGGAAAGGTCGGCGGGGGGCGGGGTGTCTCTGGATAATGTCTATTTAGCTGCTGAATTAAACCAAGCTCTAACTAATAAGCTGCTGGAATTTCAGTTTATATGAGTCCTTTTGTTATTTAAGGTCATTTAACTATTTTCTGTTACTTGCACCCAAATACATTCTAATATATCCAATAACCAGAAAACAGCTTTCCCAAATAACACAAAATATACAAAGTTAGTCAGAAATGAATTTACAAATACTACATGTGTTACACATACAAGAACCTGTGTTCAGGACTATGGGGAATACATAAGTGAATTAAGGACAGCATGTTGCAATAGAAAGAGTATAGACTTTGAGGTCAGATGAACCTAAATCCAAATCCTACTTTGAGGAAGTCACTTAATTTCTCTAAGCCTTAGTTGTCTCATCTATAAAATAGAAGAAATAGAACTACAGAATTGTGAGAACTATAGCTAATATATAGAGAACCAAGCATAGCACTCAGCCCACAGTGGGTGCTTAATAACTAGTAGCTATGATTTTTAAAATGAGAGAAGTCTTTACCCTCAAGTAGGGTAGAAAAGACAAATAATTATAATGTGCTAACTGGGATATTTATAGGGTATGAGATATTGCAACAGAGGTTCCAATTCTTCACCCCTTACTGAAACAATGTTCTTTGACACAAAGAACTTTGCAGTGTGCTCCCAGTGTGGATTCAGGCATGTGACTTGCTTTGTCCAATCAGGTATTAGCCAACCAAACTGGAACATAAGCAGAGTCATGAAAAGCACTTGTATAAATGTGCTGGCACACTCTTGCTATTCTGGTATCATCTTAAGAAGGACGAGTCCAAGTTAGCCCACCGGTCCCAGAAGACAATGGGAAACAGCTGAAGCAAAGTGCCCACACAAAGCTCACCTTAGAGCAGACCACCAGCAGACCTGCAGATAGGTGACTGAGCAAGAGAGAGAGCAGTAAAACTGCCCAACTGGGCCACTGGGCCCAGTTCAGCTTAGCAGAACCTCCAAAGGTATGAGAAATAAATGTTTATTGTTGCATGGTTTTGTGGTTAAATATTACACAGCAATAGCTAACTGACCATAGGGTTATATTTCTGTCTTTGAAAACCAAAAATTTCCACTTCCTTGATACTCGTGACTAAATGAAAGACAAGGTTAGGTCTTCTGAGTCAAAGACATACTTTCAGATTCTTAATTCAACTCATTAAACTCGAAAGTGCCTGATCTTTCATCAAACTGCTTTCTCTTTAACAAATACTAATTTGCTTAAAAACTTAGAAGTCTATGCTTACTATAAGTAGTTCAAAAAAACACTCGTAAATATCTGTTCCAAGTTCAATTAATGTCTACAATTACAACGAACACTTGTAGAAATGGCTGAGGTCCAGAAAAGTCTGTATCACCATTGTATGTAAGAAATATTCTTCTTAATAATATCAATACTTTATAGGCATCAATAAGAGCTATGCTTCTCTACTGTAATTACTGACAAACTATTTTGAGAGAAATAAGGAATGGTGCTCACATTACTGTGGAGGACAGGTATTCCACCAACCCCAAGTTCTAAGCAGTGTGCTTGATGTTATTAGTAATTTATCTTTACGGTCCTTAGTGAAACCAACAGTTGTGCTGTCAAGTCAAATAATTAGACCATTAAACCTAGGAGTCTCCAGAAATCTATGCCATGATGGCCTTTATTGATCTCCTTATGAAAACAAGCAAGAACATTTGGATATTTGGGCTTCATGACCTTTGGCCTATTAATATAATAATAAAGACTATTAATATGATAAGTTGTATCAATATCTCATTAATTATACAGAAGTACACTCACAAAGCACTTACTGTATCTTGCATATGACTATAAACAAGCTACTAAGCAACAGAAAATATTATTTAAGTGCAACATGGCCAAAAGAATGTTGTACTACGTAAATCATCCATTTCTGCCCTTTTGGCTACATCCACTTTCAAATTTGAGGCATGATCACAGGTTTTAAAGCATATTCTTATTTGCCAGTAAAACCAACACACAAGCCCTTCCAATGAACTCACATTTCAGAAAACAATGATATAAACAGGGAGTGAAACAAATACTTTCACAAGAGTTTATGATTAGTGTCAGAGCTCTGGTGGATAGAAGGCTTGAGAGGAGAGAGTTTTATCTTTGAGGAATATATATATACTCACTTCTGAGAAAAGAAATACACAGAAAATATTTCTTGATCCAGGATGCTGGTTATGGGTGTGTTCATTTGTGAAAACCTAGTGAGATACACATTTTTCATATGTGTGCTTTTCTTTATACTTTGTAAAAGGTTTTAAAATTTTAATGACATAAACAGCAGTACAGAATTAAGTACTAAAGGAAAACTATTGACAATTCAAGGAGTTCGGGAGGGATTGGTCACTGTTAATGCTATAATAGTTCAAATGTATTAAGCAATTACTGTATGCCAGTTACTGTGTTAAAAAAGCATTTTACATCCTCACAGTATCACTGTGGTCATAATCTTACCAACAGCATTTGCCACAACTACATAATTATTTCTTTATCCTTGAAACCCCTTTCCATTCCAGGCCAACACATTCCTGGTGTTCTTCCTATTTCCCTAGCTACTCCTTAATCTGCCTTTCCCACCAGACTTTAAAAATTCAAGTACTTTAACACTCAGCTATAGTCCTCTTCTCTATCTAGACTCCTTGGGATAGGTACTACTACTATTATTCCTGTCTTACAACTGAAAACATTGCAGCACAGGGAGATTCAATTATTAGATTCAATTAGTTATTATGGAATCCAAGAATATTAAGAAATATGGCAATCAACACTACAGAGCCCATGCTCTTCACTACCTCACTAACCCACTTTCTTTGGCCTTCCACATAAGAGGCAGGACATAGCTATACACATTCCACATTCTGGTGTTCTCAGTAATTGAGAAAAAAGACACTGAGTGAGGCACATGGGACCCTCCTTGATAATATATTAAGGATTAATACCAGGTACCAAGCCAGTACGAAACCAATGCTCTTGCAAATTCTGTTGAACAATTTTCCTTCTTAAATTCTTCACTTTGTATTCTGGTGCTTCTCAAGGAGAAATGTGAAATCATTCTAGAACATAGAATCTGAAGAGTTTTCAAGAATACCTAGGAGCCTTATGAAGACCTACTAAACCTAGAGAATTCTAGGAATCCAAATTTCTAAGAAGTGACCCAAGCAAATTATGAAGCTGGTAACCTAGTACCTGAATTTGGGAAGCATTTGTTTGAGAGGGGATTCTCTGGTCCTCTGAGGCCCTAAGTAGTGACCACTACATACTTACCTGCCTAGAAGAGACTGAAAATGAAATGAGAATAGAGATGTAAACTCTACAAGGAGTACTTTCCTCCAATCAGGACACTAGAGCAGCAACAGTGGAATTTTAGATCAGGACCCCACACATTTCTTAATAGTCTGGGAATTTGTTGCCATGATACAGCACGCAGCCAAGTGACATCATCCCTTAGTTTAGGAGGGGTCATCCAGCCAGCAACAACCAATATAATATTTGAGCACTCATTCCCCGTTCAGTTCAGTCGCTCAGTCATGTCCGACTCTTTGCAATTCCATGAACTGCAGCACGCCAGGCATCCCTGACTCAGTCCCAGAGTTCTCACCAAGTGTTATCAGGGAATCCAAGAGTATTAAGAGATATGGCAAACTGTCCCAAGGCTACAGAAGAAAGCTTTGTTAACAATGCCCTTCTGCATAAATATAAATGAATACATATTTTGCATACATATGTGAGTAACAATTAGAGTGGAACCATAAATGCTGAAACTAAGGCAAAGAAGTCACTTCAACATACTTATTGAAGTCTTACCTCTGTGAGTGCATGCAACTGTCCTTGATGTACACACACACCCATGAACCTACAAAACAAAACAGATTTTTTTAAAACAAATGAAAAGGACATGAACATAACTAGTGTAGTTGTGCATGCATTAGAGACAGTCCAACACCTGTAAAGTCTACTGTCCTGAATAACTCTGTAGTTTCTCAAACTTTAATACCACTCTTCTAAATTTATCATGAAATATCTGGCTGTGGCAAGATCCAGTAGTAAAAAGCATTGGTGGAAGAGGGAAGGGAGCAAGTCTTTAAAAAACAGCATGGTATAATGGAACAAGCACCAAGCTGGAACCAAGGAAACTTGATACTGGTTTAGCTTGGCCATTATCTGTCTACACGCTCACACACACAAAAAGGTCACAAACCCTACGGTTTCCTCAGTTTCCTCATCTAGAAAGTAAGTAGGTTGAACTACCCAATATGAAGGTTTGTAATTTACAATCAATGAACTGGGGTTGGGAATACCCAAATTTACTAGAGGACAGAGAGCTAACTTGCTTAACATAAAAAAAAACTCTTCTAAATATGTAATTTTAAAAAGAACCCAATAGAAAAATAAGCAAAAAGCATGTACATTAAAAAAAAAAGTAAAAATCCACAGAAAAATAAGAATAAAGGGCTAATCATGTAAAAATGTGCTCTCCCTCATAATTAGAGAAATGTATACTAACACAAGGAGCTATTACTTTTTAAATCTATCAGTGAATGAAGATTAAGAATGATGATTGGGAGTATTCCTCGAGATGGATCCAGTGGTTAGGACTCTGCTCTCACTGCAGAGGGTGCAGGTTCAATCCTTGGTTAGGGAACTAGGATACTGCTTAGGAATGCAAGCCCAACAGGACAGCACCCCCCAACCCCCAGAAAAAAATGATAATGCTCAGTGTTGTCCAGAAGGGAAGGAAACAAGAATAGGAAATACTGCTGAGCTCTCAGTACAACTTCTTCAAAGGGTAATTAATTGATCATATCTAGTAAAAATTTTCATTACTCCAACTATCCACTTCTAGAAATTTATCTTACAAGTATACTCAATTTGGGTGAGCAAAAATTCACATAAAAGGACATCTACTTCACCAGTGTATGTGAATCTAAATACCCATCAAATAAAAGACTTGTTAAATATTTACATTATAATTTATAGATTAGAATACTATAGAGGCATTAAAAAAGAATGAAGTAATCCTTATGCACTGACATGACGATATACACAAAATATACTGCTAAGTGAAAATGTCAAGCTTTAAAATACCATTTGTGTAAAAAAAATTTATGTATTAATAGAAAGTATCTAGAAGCATTAATAATAGATCGTATTGAGGAGATAACGGGTGATTTTTATTTTTTAGTGCACATACTTATGTTATATTTGAAGTTTCTTCAACCATCAGCTTACATTTTTAGGTAAAAATAATTTTTAAACAAAAATCACAAATCAATTATGATGACTGATGATAATCATTAAGTGACAGAAGATAAATGACACAAAGCCAATGACACTCAGGGCTTAGGTTGTCAAGAAAATACCCACAAGGCCCAAGTAAGCTCTAGTTTAGAAGAGAAAAGAAAAGGGAAGAGATTGACTAAAGTGATAGTGAAGGCACAGCAGTGACTGCTCGAAAGAACCCTAAAGTTGTATGAAGGCAGAGTCCAAGTCATAGCACCTAACAGTGCCTAGCAAGTGGTTCGCTTACTCAGTGAACAACTGCTGAGAGGAAAGGAACTGAGTTGGGGAGAAAGCCTGGTCAGCTGTAACATCACAGCGGTTAAGACATGCTGCTCTAACCAAAATTTCTAGTGTGAAAATTTCACAGTTTCTCCAAGAGGTGTTATTTAGACCACTGGTTTTCCCTAAGGGCATCCAGAGACATGGTGGGGACTTGAGAAAGGAAAAAAACCCAAGGAAATATCTAGGTAGTACTGAAAATAAGACGCAGGTTTCAATGACAGGCTAAAACTTACCTCTTGGGAATAAACAGGCTTAGGAATAAAAAGGAAGTGAAATAATAGAGTAGTTAAAAGAGGTCTGGGAAGAAAAAGTAAAAGAGGTCTGGGACTTCCCTGGTAGTACAGTGGATAAGAATCCACCTGCCAATCCTGGGGACATGAGCTGGATCCCTGATCCAGGAAGATGCCACATGCCATGTGCCACAACTACTGAAGCCCACACACTTTAGTACCCACGAGCCCCAACTACTGAGCCCACATGCTGCAACTACTGAAGCCCAGCACACCCAGAACTCGTGCTCTGCAGCAAGAGAAACCACCACCACGAGACCCTTGCAGACCACAACCAAGAGTAGCCCCTGTCTGCTGCAACTAGTCCACACACAGCAATGAAGCCCCAGCACAGCCAAAAATAATTAATTAAAAAAATTAAAAGTATAGAAAGAAGATAATTGACAATCTAGATATCGATTTTAAAAAGAGCTCTGAAGGTAGAGGGTGTAGGTTCAAATCCCATCTCCACTTGTTACTGGGCAAATATTAGTTTCCCTAAAGCATCTATCTACAATGTGGGAGACCTGGGTTTGATCCCTGGGTCGGGAAGATTCCCTGGAGAAGGAAATGGCAACCCACCCCAGCACTCTTGCCTAGAAAATGCCATGGACGGAGGAGCCTGCAGCAGGCTACTGTCCATGGGGTCGCAAAGAGTCGGACACGACTGAGCAACTTCACTTTCACTTTCATAGGATAATAGTGTCCACAAAGTAAGGTTGTTGGAAAGACTAAATGAAACAACTTCATTCACCGGTCAGTTTCTTTACTGTGAAACTCACTATCTAATATGGAAGAGAATGAGGTAAGGAATGTAGGACAGGTAAAAGTCTAAAGAATAAACATAAGTAACACAGAGTGCTGGAAGACTGAATCTGGAATGCTGAATGTTTCTGGGTGGCATGGCATAGTGTCTTTGCAGATACAGCACCTGACAGCTTCAGTTTAACATCAGAAACCAGCTGGGTAAAAGAGAGGAAGCTGTACTAGAACAAAGGAAATCCGGGCAAGATAAATGAGAAAACAATCAATCTGGGGGAGCTGAAGTTTTAGAAGTATCTTTTTTTTTACTTATTAAAGACATTTTTTTTTTGTAATAATGTTTTCATGGAAGGACAGTTGATTTACAATATTATATTCACCTCAGGTGTACAGCAAAGTGATTCAGTTATATATATATTCTTTTTCAGATTCTTTTCCCTTATAGGTTATTACAATATGTTGAGTATAGTTCCATGGCTATATAGTAGGTCCTTCTTGGTTATCTATTTTACATATAGTAGCATGTATATGTTAAATCCAAACTCCTAATTTATCCCCCTCCCACCTTTCTCTTTTGTTAACGATAAGACTGTTTTCTATGTCTGAGGGTCTATTTCTATTCAGTGTCATATATGTATACATATATATGCATGTGTATATATATATCCTTTTTCAGATTCTCTTCCATTACAGGTTATTACAAGATACTGAACATAGTTCTCAGTACTATACTGTGGCTCCTCGGTGATTACCTATTTTGTATATAGTAGTGTGTATCTGTTAATTCCAAACTCCTAATCTATTTCCCTCTTTCCCTTTTGGTAACCAAAAGTTGGTTTTCTATGTCTGTGAGTCCATTTCTATTTTATAGATAACTTCATTTTGTACTTTTTAAGAGTCCACATATAAGTGATATCATGTGGTTATTTACCTTTGTCTGACTTACTTCACTTAGTATGATAACATCTAAGTCCATCCATGTTACTGAAAGTGGCATTATTTCATTCTTTTTATGGCTGAGTAATATTCCATTGTGTGTATATACTGCATCTTCTTTACTACAGAGGTATTTTTTAAAAAGGTCAGTGTTCTTTAAGTGTTTGTACAGTTCCTCAGTCACCAGAATTATAAGAGTCAGTATTCTATTCATTTAACAACTATTTGTTGAGTGGTCACTATGTGTGAGACATTAGGGACAGAACAGTGAATAAAACAAAGTCCCTGTTCTCAAAGCAGTTTCATTCCAGGGGTCATTCTATTGGAAAGCAACTGTAATAAAAAGTTAAATGGATGTTTTGCAGAATGCGGTTAAATTGTTGTGCATAAATAGCTGTATCTAGTGAACCTCTTACAGGAAGGATGCTTCCCTGAGATTACATGGTATTTCTGCCTAAGGATGATTCTATTCTCATTATCCCACCATAGCAAAAAGAGGTAAATAATATACAATAAGCTTTTACTACAATATACAATAAGCTTTTATTACAAAAATTTTATTATAATATTACAATAAGTAATATACAAAAGCTTCACTACAGCTTTCTAAACTATAAAGGGCACTGCTGCTGCTAAGTCACTTCAGTCGTGTCCGACACTGTGTGACCCCATAGACGGCAGCCCACCAGGCTCCCTCGTCCCTGGGGATTCTCCAGGCAAGAATACTGGAGTGGGTTGCCATGTCCTTCTCCAATGCATGAAAGTGAAAAGTGAAAGTGAAGTCGTTCAGTCGTGTCCGACTCTTAGTGACCCCATGGACTGCAGCCCACCAGGCTCCTCCATCCATGGGAGTTTCCAGGCAAGAGTACTGGAGTGGGGTGCCATTGCCTTCCCATAAAGGGCACTAGCAGGGGTTAATAATAAGACCTACTACTTGTTTTTATAAAATTTTATTCGAACATAAGCATGGTATTTTCTGGGGCTGCTTTTGTGCTACAACAGCAGACTTAAATAGTTGTGACAGAGGCTGTATGGCTTGCAAAGACTGAAACATTTACTATCTTGTCCTTTACCAAAAGAGTTTGCTAATACTACCTTAAAAGACTGTTAGGAGGATAAAATGGGATATTTCAGGTACAATATCTAGCCTATGATCAAATAAAGGTTAATTGGTTTTTATTTTATCATTACTAATATTCTAAATTATACCATCTCTTATATGACTATTAGAGTTACCTTTTCAAAACCTGAACTATGTCATTTCCTTCTTTATAAACCTTCAATGGCTCCCTTCAGCCTATAGAATAAAGTCAAAATCCCTTAC